GATTTGTTCATATTCATTATACATTCATGTCATTTGGCTAAAGTAGGACGTGAAATAGATAATCATCCTCAAACGGATTGACATAAGATCAAGGTTGTCAACCCGCGGGTTGACCCGCGGGTCGACCCAGTTTGACCCTGACCCGATGAGAAAAATGGATCGCACGCACCCGCCGGGCCGACCGCTATAAGGTACTGGGTTGGAGGTCAAATTGTGTCATTTTTTCCTTTGATTTGCGAAATGCGCCTATTTTCCGATTTTTCTTTTCGCCCAACTCAATTTTTGGAATTCTAAGTTGAACATTTGAATATTTATGTTATATAAGTGTGTGTGAATTTTCATTATATGTTGGATCTAAGTACGATAAGTTATTTTAGTGTAATATTATATGTTATAACTCATATGTTAGATAAGATTTGATATAATTTATGAGGATAAGTACAATATAATGACTTTTCCATATTTCCGGGCCAAACCGAGCTAAAACAGTTGACCCATTAACCCTTGACCCACTAGCTCGACCGGGTCCGGGTCAACCCGCGGTTGACAACCTTGCATAAGATACTTCTTTTATAATTTGTTTAATGTCCACTACCGGAGAATAACCAAATTGAGTTATACAAGTACAACATGTTCTATAACCTAACCAACTGCTTTAATCTTTTTCTATATAGGTGATCGTTGTTTGAGTTATTTTTACAGTCTTTGCAGCCAACTCATATTTGAACAATCTAAAAGGACATGTTGAACTACGATAATAAATTTTTAGATGGAGAATAAGTATAAAGGAATTTTAACAATAATTTTTAGTTGACAATGTATTTAACATAAAACAGTTTACTAAATTCAAATTAATGAAATGGGGTTGTTGTGCCTTTGCCTGTTTATTATTACTAGCACCGGGCCCGGCCCCTTGGCCGGGAAAGTCTAGACAAAAAATATGTTCATATAACATGCTTACAATATAATAGGAAGATACGACATATCACTGAAAAAAGAAATATAATTGTTCAAAGAAGAAAAGAAAAACATACAAAATAATAGGTTTTCAATACTTAAAAATGGCAAATAGTTCAAGATTATAGTTGTTTTTCCTAAAACATACATAATGAACCCTCAGAAGGAAAGAAAAAGATTGGTCTCTAACAGATTTTAGGAATGAGATCATTTGTAACCCTAATTAATGTCTAACAGATACACCCATATTATTCCTCTTCATAGAAAGTAGAATAAGGATCAGCTGGTTTGGAAGCATGCTAGTCGTAGTCCCCGAAGATGCCTAGAAAATAGTCCGGGGTCTCAAGAGAGCTTCAAACTTAAGGCTGAGTGCAACTAATTTTGAATTACATATGTTTGTCTTTGTCAGTGTTGCTGATACTTTCACTGACTACTTTGATTGGTAAGTTGACCATAAATAATAGGGATATACCTTATTTTGACCTTGAAGTTTGTCGTAAAAGCCAAACTTGACATGAACTTGCAAATAAGACAGTTTTTCAAAATTTTGAAAGAAATGGACAAATTTGGACTGAAATTTATGTTGTTCGTTAATATTAAAAGTTAAAAATTTCTTCATCCATTCAACATACAATGCTCAGGTGGTTGCGATTGCGATGTGGCTTCCATGTCATAGGGATGATACCTTATTTTGGCATGAACTTGATGTAAAAGACAATTTTGGCTCGAATTTTCAAATAAGATAGGTTTGTTTGCACTTTGAAAGAAATGAACAAATTTGGTCCGAAATTTGGGTTGACCTTTAATATTGACAGTTGTGATAGAGAGGTTTCGGTTGCGATGTGGCTTCCAAGTCATTTATTTATAAAGTCTAAAAAAGTGAATTTTTCAGAAGAAAAAAAGACCACAAAATAGGACCCTTAGTATATCCTAATATTTTCATATTTACTTGCATAAATCATATTAAAAGGAAAAAGAAATTGATTCAGGCCCCCAAAAAGAAATTGATTCAGGCCCCCAGAAATTGATTCAGGCCCCCAAAAATCCTAACATTGTATGTTGAGTCATAAAAAAAAGAAATGTTTGACCCTCAATATTAATAACCGACCCAAATTTCGGGTCAAATTTGTTAATTTCTTTCAAATTCGGACAAAACTATCTTATTTGAATGTTCATGCCAAAATTGTTATTTACATCAAAGTTCAACACAAAATAGGATATTATCCCTAAATAATATAGGAGTACTAAAAATATTGGACTAATGAAGTTCAAAATGTTTCAAACAACATACAACCCTGATAAAACTGCAGTCCAACCAACTAACATTTAGAACAAATGACTTTCCAGCAAGATAACACAACTATAAGTATGGGTGGTTCTATCATATTTTGATTAAGAAAATGACATAAGGAAATGATATATAGACCTTGAATGATATACTCTGAGTATGAAAATGATGTCTAGTGGCCGGAGCTAGGGACATGGTACTATACCTTAAGCCCTTACAGATTAAAATCTAGGTCTTAATTCTATGAAGCTCATATACTAAGATCAATTTTATTAGAAACAATAATCGAAGGTCGTGTTTCATCAAAATACATCAAAAAAATTATGTGCATAATCTTAGTGTTTAGGGCAAGGATTGAAAACCCTTAACGTACCGGGGGTTCGACTAACCAGTAGGCACTATGTAGTGTTGTGAAACGACTGAATCACGGTTAACCACAGTTTTCGCATAAAATACCCTCCTGCCGACTTTTTCGGTACAACCTCTGATGAGGTTTTATAATCCTTGGTTTAGGATCTATGATTTAAATAGTTAAGACCTAGAGTTCACTCGTCAAGGATTAGAATATAGTGTCTCGTCTCGAAATCAGGTTAATTCAAAGTCTAGATTGCCATTTCTTACCAAGGGTATGAGTTACCTTTTGATTTTACTCAAAATATGATAGAAAACACTACACACACACATACTGGTATACTACAGGAGTATAGTATACTGGTATACTCCAAGAGTATAGTATACTCCACATGATCTAGACATTAGATGTACTTTGTTGAGCTCCAATCAATCTCAATGGTCAATTATAATTTTCCATTAAATTAAACTTTGGGTTTGAGTTTAGAGAATCGGGGCCTGAGGTTTATCCATTAGAGGTTAGGGTAGAGTATCATACCCCAAACTCGGTTAAAAATCATGGTCTAGATAGAGATATCTCACGAAGAGTACCTGAAGTATAATATACTCTAGGAGTACACCAGTCTGACCCATATATATGTGGTTGTGTGTGCACATATATATTTAATATTGTAATTTGATATGCAATATTCGAATAAATGATATTTGGATTGCGGTTTTAAGATTATCCTCCATTTATAAGATAGACTACCATTATTATTGAAGTCAAAATAAAATAATAATGAATGATAATCAAAGATCCAACACTAAAAATGCTTAAGAAAGACTTAGTGGGGTAGCTAACTGTGCTGGAAAAGTCATTTGATTTTCAGAATTTTGCCTCTTGTATGTTTTTTTTATAAATAAATGCAACAAATTTGTTTAGTCTTATTGGTTATGACTCTTGTCCTTGTTAGAAGAGACCCGGGTTCAAATCTTGACACTGATATTTTTTTCAAATAAAAAAATAAACAATTGCAATGACGAAAGTACCCTTCCTACTTTCACTCTCGTTGCAGAAAATTTGAAATGGAAGAAAGTTGAGTCATGAATCTCCATCATATATCTTATAGATAGATTGATCAGCATAGAAATGGGTAATGAAGAGTGTACAAAATTGGGCCTTAAAATCTGGCCCAACCGCATCTGGATGTAGGCTGGAGGAGTTATTTTGTGCGCCATAATTCGTGACCAGAAAATAATCACTCGTTTTAGCGATAAATGTCCTGATAATGCACAAAACACGAGAATGCTTAGTAGTTAGTATAACGATCATCGTGCTTTGTACTTGTTTATTAAGAAAATGATATATTCCCGCAATATATCATTAAGTAGAAAAATAGCAAAGATAAGGGGGGACCTCTATCTATAGAAAGAGAGAGGGGCCAAATCTGTATCTCCAAGGACAAAGGCATCAAGCTATGAAAAAGTCTGCTTGGTTAATTGAATCTGCACAGTTATAAAAGTTGGACAGCATAAAAATTGGGTTTTGGCATATGCTAAGTTTGGAATGGCGGATTGGATCTGGACCACAGTATTTGGGCCCGCTAATCCTTATTTATGGGTAGCCATGACTGGATCTCAGGACCACAGGATCCAAACTTGGGCGCACTTGACAGAGCTTTGTAATTAGTTTTAGAGGGGGTGTTTCTAAAGTGAATTCTGCAAAGTAATGTATTGTACGTACCAAACACTTCCGCTCTGGTTAAGACCGAAGCGTGTAACCAAAAAGGGATAGAAGGTAAAAAGAGTTGTCTGCCTAACGTCATAATTATTACCCCAAAAACTGTACCACTGGGCATTGAGTAGATGCTATCTATTGGAGGCCCATGTTTGACTGTCCAGCTCGACGAGGGCCCAACATGTTCCGTCTTTGTTTCACCATTCGCTTGGGACAGAGTCACAGGCCACCAAGAACATTATAAACCCTACCAAACTATGTTCAACCTACTCATTTTAGCTGCGTTGAATTTTGGTGATGTTGTGAAATTTCGTAGTGGCAGAATTAAAATCACGAATTTTACATATATTCACCGGCAAATAATTTGTTATTAATTTGATATACAGTAGGTGGATTATTGATGTGAGTGAATCACAATTCGATAAATTTGCTTACCCGCATTTATTTGAGTAATCGGTGAATTGATTGTAGTTCATCCGAATGACCGAGGTCGTATTTAACACGCCAAAAGTTGGAGTGGCAGAGTGGAGGAGGAATCTTATTAGATGCCATTGGGCCCAATTGAGCGAAGCCCAAGACGGCGAATATGATTTCAACCTCTACTCTAGACCACTCGCTTCGCGGCGCGTGCATTTCCTTTCCCCACAAAACCCCAGCAGCATTTCCTGCGCAGCTGAACGAACTAATCAGGAAGCTCCAGACGCCTATGGCCAACGACAACGACGCTGAGTTTCCTCCCCAAATCCTCTGCGATTCTCTTAATTCTTCGAGTCTCCTTTCCGATCCTCACGCTGGTCTGAGCCGCTGAAGCAGGTCTGTTAGTTCACTGTGAAGTTTCTGTCCATGAATTTGACAGATTTCGGTTTGGGAAGGGGAGGTTGCTAGTGGTTCATTCCAATTTGTCTTCTTTTGGAGTTTGTAGAGTGAAATAGGAACTGGGTTTGGTATCTTCTGTGAATGAACATGCTGTATCTGGTAAAGGTGCACAATCGTTGGAGAATTTTGGGGGATGTTTGACTTAATGGATGAACTCTCTTTGAGGTGTTATTGTTCTAGGATGGGTTCACAGAACTAGCTGGAGTAGGGAAACTTCATTCCCAAATCCAATGGGTTCCTATCAGAGCTTCCAGTACAGTGAAAGCTGGTGTTGAGAACAGTTTGTCATGGAAACAGTGTCTGTGAAATTTTGAAGGGCATGAATGACTATCAGTTGAAATAGAAATGTCCGTTCAACTTGTGTTGGGTTAATTGGGTATCGGTTCTGCGTTCTCCTTTCTAAGAATTTATGGTTTCTGGTGGATGACTGGATGTAGCTTAAGTCTTGGCTGTTGTATGTTCTGATGTTTCTTCTTTGTTGAAATTGTACTATTTTGTAAGATTGTATAGGCAATGGGTGATGCAATTGACTTAACCGGCGATGGAGGTGTCATGAAGAAGATTGTAAGGCGTGCAAAAGCCGATGCAGTTGAACCTTCAGATGATCTTCCTCTTGTTGATGGTAAGCTTGGGTAATCTAGGACTGGCTACAGTTGGGTAATTTAGGGATCGAGAATGCTACATTTTTTGTTCCTTGGTATGTAGGCTTGTTTGATGTTAATATCTTGGGAAACCAGGAATGTAGACCAGTCGTTTATCCTTTCTGGCTGATGGAAAGGATTCCCAAATTGCACATTTGTGTTTATCTTCTGTACTTACTATTTGATCTGTAAACTAAGATCTCCATCTCTTCTTCCTTCTGCAGTTCATTACGAGGGCACATTAGCCGACACCGGGGAAGTCTTTGATACCACACATGAAGACAACACAATCTTCTCATTCGAAATTGGAAGTGGTTCGGTGATTCGGGCATGGGATGTTGCATTGAGAACGATGAAGGTCTAGTTATATCAAGTGTTGTTCATTTTCCACATCACTGAATGCTTCCCTATTTATGTGCTAAATTTTTTTGTTGCTATTCAATTCCAGGTGGGGGAGGTTGCAAAGATCACTTGCAAGCCGGAGTACGCCTATGGCAGTGCAGGCTCTCCACCGGATATTCCAGCAGAGTAATGCTATAGCTAGACAGTTGTGTTAAATCATGATCTGAGTCTGTTTTCTGATAGGGCACGTTTTCTCTTGATGCAGTGCAACTCTTGTTTTCGAGGTGGAACTTGTGGCTTGTCGTCCTCGGAAAGGTTCCAGCATGAGCAGTGTTTCAGAGGAGAGAGCTAGGCTAGAGTAAGCAAACATCATTCATTATTACATTTTTTGCAATTGTACCCACAAGCTTATGTTTGTTGGTCTGTATAATCCGTTCAAATTCAGTGAGCTGAAGAAGCAAAGGGAAATGGCGGCCGCAGTCAAAGAGGAAGAGAAGAAGAAACGAGAAGAAGCGAAAGCTGCTGCCGCTGCTCGTATTCAGGCCAAACTAGACGCAAAGAAGGGTGGAGGGAAGGGCAAAGGGAAGTCCAAGTAACAAAGGAATGTGCTCCAGCCTCCAGCTTCCCAGTTTTAGTTCTTCCATTTTGTTGTATTTGAAACTCAACTGTAGTTGTCGACTCACTTAGAGCGATAGCACGACTGTTAAGGCCAATAAATTACCAGCTATTCTGCTAGCAGATAGTAACAATTTCAATATCATTTTGAGTGTATGATTTTGAGTGTGTGATTTTGAGGTGTTAAGGCTAACAAACACAGCAACCATTGCCTGATGTGAGACTTCTCCCAACTCAATCAGGTAACGGCAAGTAAAAAGTTACTATAATAACTGTGATTTTCGATTGCCAACTTCCCGAGTAATCTAAATTACAAAATGTTATGATGTTACTAAATACATCAATCCGCATCTTTTCTGCAGTGTGCACTAGTCTGAAAAAGATTTACGTTTTAGTGTTAGGCACACAGTAACTATTAAATTAGACCTTCCATCTTTGTTCAATAGGAACTCCAGTGAACCTTTTACTTTCTATCTTTGGAGAGGTAGACTGAGTCAATTGATGCAGAGGTTAAAAGCTAAACCATGTATGCAGCATCCAGAGCTTGTCCATTTTCAGCCCAGCTGGATCCTGCCCTGTATTTGCAAACTGGGCATGTTCCCTGTTGCCTCAACCATGGGTCAATACAAATGGCATGGAACTGCAGGGGAAAATATCAAGTTAATGGTGTGCTTAAGCATATTAGGCCACGGTGCCTAATATTGATATACTGAAAGAAACAAACCATTCATAGACAAACAAAAGAGAGATTAGGATCTGCAAGAAAGGACAGGACCTGATGCAGACATGGGAGGGTACGTATGACTTCTCCAACATCCACTTGCTCCAAGCATACACTGCAAGTAAGTTCATCCTCTGAAGCCTTCAAGCTACCAAACCTATTTGATGTCTCCTGCTGCTGCTTTGGCTAGAGAGCAAAGTAACAGATCAAAAGCATATTCAACTCTGTTGACAAGCTGCAACTGAATTTGGCCTAGTGCTATTGTAGGTTCGAAACTTGAAGCCGTCAATCACTACTTATAAGAAAATGTGTGTAGAATGCACTCGTCTGTCTCAATATGCATTTATCAGATATGCATGCCGACAAAATTTCACACCATGCAAAAGTAAAACTAGGATAAAGAAGTCGAGTAGTTGACTGTTATTTAAAAAAAATTCTTCCTTCGAGAATTCATACTGATCAAAATTCACATCAGAATCCAGAGCTCTACTAATTGCCTAATTGGGCTGGAAGCACATGAGCTTTGGTATTGAGACAAGGGAGTCGTTCCGAAGGGAGAAAGAACAAATCACTACTACAAACATCTACAGATAAGACAGGAGGGTGAAGAACGTATCCTAACTTGCCAGGAACACAAAGTTCACATTCAACAACAAAGTACAAGAATATGTTAAGAAACATGTACCTCTGTAGGAATGGACGATGATGCTTGTTGCACTAGAGGGACCGAACTGGCATATTAAAGAAGATACAAATCTTTGTCAAACACATAGAATACTTATGTATGAAGCCCTTCTAGAGACAACATGCAGCAACATAGAAAAACGGTGTAGCAAAGTAGTAGATTACTGTAAGCTACTTATATAAACGGAATTTTCAAGTGATACATGATAAAATCAGAAGGAACCTATTTGCCACATTTTAAGACTCTGCTCCTCTCTTGCTAGTTGCTACACTGATTTTGTCACAGAAATGCTTTACCAGGACACGAGACTCTGAATGACTTACAAGAGGCAACACCTCTGATATCTTTTTGTATGCAGACATGCAACCATCAATCAAAATGAAAATCTCAGCCAACTACAACATGCAGCTCAGCTATTGTATAAAACAGAAGAGGAGAGAAAAGCTTCTGGAGGATGAATAGTCCAAGAGTAAGCAAAATGTGTCCAGCTGCCAAGAAGTGTCCAAGTTCAGCTGAGTTAAGTACAGGACAAGAAGTATGATGCATGCAGCTTGAGGCAGAGATAAGCAAATCCAAAGTAAACATCAGACGAGTTAAACAACACCTGGGAAAACTTACATCTGAGGACCAGAAATCTTATAATTATGAACAGGAAGGGCATTTATCTCTTCCTCGCTCATTGATGTGGTGGGAACAACATCAGAATCCAGTGCTCTCAAAGTCTCATAATCTGCAAAAAAGCCAAATCCAGTGATGGTAAGAAAACAAAACCATACATCCATCAAAATGTATTATTCCAATCACAGCATAGCTAAGAGTCAATTCACCAAAAATGACAAATCAACACACCCTTAGCACTGATTTTGGAAAAAATAAGCCTCACCTAGGTCATCAAATTCTCTATCAAGGAGAGCAAGCTGGAGTCTGAGGCCCTGTAGACGTCCCCTGGTTGCAAGAGCTATGGATGGTGGCATATGCAACCTTAATTCGGTATGGCCAAGTAGCCCACTGGCAATGGCCGCATGAGCTTGCGCCTGAGCTTGCAGTTGTTGACAAGTTGCATACATCCTCAAGATTGTGGCCATCAAAAATACCCCAAGCACCAGCCATAGCTACAACGCAGCATCCAAAAGTTACAACACATTCGAATTTCTCAAGGGCCAAACGGAAAGAAGAGAAGAAAACAAATTGTGAGGGGGCAAAGATAGATGAAATCACCAGGAAATTGGGAGGCATTTGGTGTGAGTTCAATATCATGAACAACAATAGAACTGCATGAACCCAATTTTACAATTATTCATCAGGAAAAGCAATGCAATCAAATCATTAAAACGTAGAATTTTGATCCCCAAACACACAAAACATACCTGTGACGAGGAATACAAGCGAGTTGGAATTAACCGGCCGAGTCGGATGAACTCGCTGAAACAAACAATCAGGAGGTGAAATCAATTCAAAGCAGCAAGCGGAAACGAACGTTTTACATGATGAGGAGCAGAAGAAGAAAATCTCACCATTGCTCGGCGCTCAGGGACGAATCCAGGAAAGCCATTTTCTAAATCTAATTCAGCTCTGGTCCCGCGGAAAACAAAACTCATTTTCTTCCTCCTCTGTTCTGATTTTTCTTCCTCTTTCTGGTTCTCGTTAGATAATCTCCGGCGACGGTGCGTTGAATTCTCCCCCCACTGTCAAATTGATACGGGAAAACCACAGTCGAAATCAAAGCAACAGAAGCGAAAAACCATGCTGGAATCCAGACGACTTGTGAAGGGAGAAAGATAACTAGAAAACTCACGCTGTGCGCGGAGGACGAAAGGGCGCCGGATCTGGAGGCGAAAATGCGATGGATGGCCGAGCGGTTGATCAAAACCTTCAATTCATTGTGGTGGTTGGGGAAATGGCGACGGTAATTTGGCGTCCGAGGAGATGGAGGACGAGTTGGACGGAGCGATTTGACTCGGACGCCCCGGGATTGGCATGTTGTTTGTTTCCTTTTCCTTTTTCCTATATAATCTTTTACCTTTTTTTCTGGATTTGTTTTCTTATTTATTATTTTTTTAACCTCACCAACAAAGCAAACGCTTTCGTCGTGAGGTCGCCGGAGTAGTGAGAGTAGTTAGATGGGTTAATTTCCTTATTGACAGCTATATTAACACGGCACCGTTCCGGTAGGGAGAATCGCCATTTATAATCGACGTAGAAAACAATGATGCCAACCATGACCCACTTCCGTTGGATTCGTAGACTAACTTTGGTAACTCTTTTTGAAAGCACAAACCACCACACAAAATATAACTTAACAGTTGTGTGGTCAAGAAGAAGATGATACAGAGTTAACTTTAATAAACTATCTTATTAAGTCTATAAAGTATACTAATCACATGTCAATGTTGTAAAACACTAATTGATCTCAATAACTCGAGTAGTTGGAAATTGATAAAGTAAACACTCGATGCATTCCATCACTTCTTGAGCAAGACACAATTGAACTCTCTGTACATCAATTACCACGAACTAGAAACAAGTTAATGTATCACTTTTTTCCGGTTTTGATCACCCAAATTATGAGCAATCGAATTAAGAGTTTTGTAAAAGTCACCACCATCACGTCATAGTGTTCCCCTTTTTTCCATATTTAGGACAACGTTCAGTCCTATCGTGCAATGGGAACCACATCATTCATCATAGGCAGTTGAACGAATCTGTTATCAATCTAAAAACTGAATGGGGTTTAGTGAGTGAGGGTCCAGAATCCTATCCCCACATTGATCATTGACATTATTGAGTTACAACAACTACGAAAGCAGTTTTCTGCCAATCTTCTGGCTGTGCTGTGGACCATTTACATTTCTCTGATTGAGTGTGGACCGTTGTGATTATCTATGGTACTAGTGGTAGTGGGCTTGTATTGTAAGCCACCGCAGAGGAAAGAGCTGATAAAGAGAGAAAGAAGGTCATCAATGGCGGAATCGCGAAGGGGGGGAGATGCGAATGCGACGAGGCATGCAACTAATAAAATATCTTTCTTGTGGTCGGTCTTTTCTGGTTTGCTTGATTCAAATGTTCTTTTCTTTGTATATATTTAATTAATTTGGCACCACACGAGTGGGATCAAGGATGACATTGCGGGATGGAAGGGAAGTCGTAGAGACGTAGACTTTTGAGTTTTGACTTGGAGACCCTAGGCCCTAGAGCGCTAGGATCACACGTGGGCTTCCGACGATTCAGAATTATGACGACACGGTCTTACTAGGTCCCCGGCCCAGCCCAGCCCACTCCCAATATCTTGTTCGGATAAATAAAGTGTACTGTGTACATATATCAAAATGTATTTACTATTTAGGCTCGTTATTCTTTATGATTAAAGATTTGAGCCACAAATAATGATGGCTACTATACTAAGCGCCTTCAATACATTGGGCCCAAGGGTAAATGCTGGTAAGGACTCTGCTCCTCCTTCCTCTATTCACTGCACGATGTGCACATTACTAGCGATGGCAATGGGGCGGGGCGGGGCAGGGCTGGGCGGGTACCTCAATTCCCATGCCCCGCCCCATGCTACTACGGGACGGGGCGACCCACTCTTATATGTTGTTAAAAAAAAATATAAGTAAATTTTACTTTTTACAATAAAACGTAGGGAAAAACACTTTAAGAATGAAAAATATTGATAATAGAATGGATAATTGAGGCTAACAAGTTGAAAGATCGACTCTAACTAGTTGAAGAAAAGTAAAAATAGGAGAAATATGTATAGATATTGTAAAAAATTGAGATAAAATGAGTGTAGAACGGGGCGGGGCAGAGCGGGTCGGAAGTAGATACCCATGCCCCGCCCCACGCTACTGCGGATCGAGTAATACACGCCCCATCGCGGGTCAGGTCGGGTAATACCCGCGGAGCGGGTTGAAATTGCCATCACTACCCATTATCTTCTCTCTACTTTATACACCTTGTCTTTTATACCGTCACTAGATCACAAAAATCACCATATATTTCCAGGGGTTTATTCTACCCCTAAAAAGATTTAGGAATAAACCTGAATGAGAGCTACACATAATTGACTATAGATATTGTGTATATAGCAACCCCTACCATCGAATAAAAATTGTTAGAAATCGTTTTGATTTTTCTTGTTGTTAAATTGACATATTGATGTATCATATACTATCGTGTTTGCTATTTGTGAGTGTATTTTTACATAAATTAGTTTAGATTATAACGATCTCCTTTTTGCCCGAAGTTGGAAATGGGAAGTAAACGAACGGGAGAAAGAAAAGAAAGGAGCTGAGGCAGAAAGAGAAAGGCGGAAAAGGCTTCTTTGATCTTTCTTTGTGTTTCTCAATTAGCGTGGGTTTAAAGGAATTGAATGTGAGGCGACAGCAGGGGTTATAAATTTGGGGAAAGTGGGGATTCCACACGGCAGCTGCTGAGCACAACAATTTCCAGCCTGGCTGGCTGGCTGCGGGATGGCGCAGTCATTAACTACATTAATTAGGGCTCAAGATAGGGTGCATAACCCATGGTTATGCACCCATCAATAACCAAATCTGAACCCTTCATTTAGAAAATCCAGATCTAAGGATGGAGAATTAAAGGCTATTTTTATTTTCACTAGCTTTCTTAATTGACTCATATCTTTTTCGTTTTAACTCGGATTTTAATTTTTTTTGCACAGATGGAACGAGTTCACCGTGCTCTACAAAATGAGATCAATTTTCAATATTTTTTTAGGAAAAAAAATTCTGGCCTCTCGGTACCAACTGCATACCATATGGTATCTTCTTCGTTTTTAATTCGTTTTTGAAAACGTTTGCACAGCAGGGATGAGTTCATCATGATCTACTGGATCTACAAATTTCTGGGTGAACAAATTACAGGACCAAAAAATACCACACAATACCATACAATACCACCCTGGTACGGGGTGGTATTGTATGGTATCTTCTTCGTTTTTAATTCGTTTTTGAAAACGTTTGCACAGAAGGGACGAGTTCATCATGATCTATTGGATCTACAAATTTCTGGGTGAACAAATTACAGGACCAAAAAATACCACACAATATCATACAATACCACCCTGGTACGGGGTGGTATTGTGTGGTATACAATGTTAAAAGTCGTAAATTACAATTAATATACTTCTACTATCATGTATTCAACCATCCTACAATATTGGTTTGTTCATATCACCATGGTACTTTTTTCAAAACATAGGTATGCTTTTATTTCAATACCAGTCAATACCATATGGTATAGGCTGGTAAAAAATGGCTCAATTTTTTTTGTTCAAAAAATATATTAAAGTGGATATCATTTTGAAGAGCACAATTAATCTGATCTAACTGTGCAAAAAAAATTAAATTTCGACTTAAAATGAGCGAGAAATCGTCCGTTAAAGATTAAAGAGGGAAAAATTAAAGGCTTTCCATGAGAGAGAGGATGCTGATGTCATGCTGATGTGGACAGGTTACTCTTGATTACTCACCATAAGGTTACTGACCTGATCCATTCCCATTAATTAGTCTTACAGCGGGAGGGGAATCCTCTATTTCTTTTTTCTTCCTTTTTAAGCTCAATTCATTAAATTGATTAAAATACAGAAACACCAAATATAAGAGTAATATTCCTCTTATAAAAAAAAAAAAAATAAGAGTAATATGAAATTCATTATGAAGCAAAGCACAGCAGCAGGCTGAAGTCGTACTCCTCCTACCAGCAGTGCATAGTATAATACTAGTCGAGTGAGTCTAGTCTAATCTTTTCCCAGTTCCCACTGCAGCGATCTCTGTGCTTGACTTGTTGGCACAGCATAAAAAATGAACAGAGATATCCGACATTGATCAGCTAGGTAGCAAGCAAGCAGTGATGTGAAGCATCCAACAAACAGTATGGTCTTCACTCTTCCCCCCACTAGGCCAAATGATCATATCGGTATTCATATGGGCTGGCTGGCACCCACTCCCCACTCAAACACCCTCCGCCCATCTTACACAGATAGACAATATTTGTGTCCTTATCCGTTACGGTTTATGTTCCTATTTTGATTTTCTCACTGAACAGTGTCACATGTGGCCGATGACATGGCGCCAACAAGGTGACAACAAGGCTGCACATGTGTATGGAAGACTAGTAGCATAGAGATGCTCCTAGGATTCTCCACCTAAATGAGAGCTTAATGGTGCACTTATGGGCTACATTATGGTAGCATTGATAGAGTGCATTATGGGGGGACTTTATGGGGTGTATTGATGTAGTAGAGGGACCATTATGAGGGGCATTGATGCCTTGTATGATGAGAGGCCTATATAAGGAGCCATCTCCCTCACTTGTAACTCATTCCATCATTTTTGAGAGTAATACACACTAGAGAGTTCTCCCAATCCTTTGTCTCTTTGTTCTTGTTCTTTGCTTTCAAGTGAGTTGAGAGAAAGGCTGCCTAGCGCTCTAACGGATTTGAGAGCTAGGGCCGCACGATCTAGAGTAAGGTCGTGACAAGTGGTATCAGAGTCTGGTTCGGCTTTGTGCTAGCAAAGTTGAACCTGAGCCAGAAGGAAAGGAAGAACCTCATCAAAAATGTCGGGATCAGACAGCGGCGTTACCGCCGACGAGAAGCGCGGAAGGGATCAAACCAAGCATCCCAAGCCAAAGGGTGACAAGTCAAGCACTCGTGATCCTATGACGGCACTAGAGAGGCGAGTCTCTCGAGTGGAAGTGAAGTTGGCGGAAGACATCACCGCCATCGAGGATTTGGGAGGTAACTTCGCCCAAGTCCAAAGCGATGTTCAAGGTATGGCTGGTCGGTTGACAACCTTGGAGATCAATCATGATGGGATGCGGGAAGAGCTCATAGCCCTCATCAACAACACCATCACCACCTCCATGAACAACGCTCTTGAAGTTGTGAAAGAGCAAGTCCAGGCTGAGCTGGTCGGCGTGAAGGAGGAGATTGCAGACCTCAAGAGTGAGGTCACTCTCGTGAAGAGAGCCATGGCTAGCGGACCAGCCCCGGTGCAATCCGTCCCACGTGCTGACGTTCCAAGACCGAAGAACTTCGGAGGTTCAAGGAACGCGAGGGAGTTAGAGAACTTCCTTTGGAGTCTTGAGCAGTACTTCAAGGCGTCCGGCATCCAAGATGATGAGGTAAAACTCCGT